ATTCTGATTATGTATATTAAAAAAAGAACATTACATCATGTATTGCTTAGATATGAAGGAGATTAATTAGACGGAATTGCTTTGAAAGTTTTATATGTCACCTTTTTTTTGATAAAGTGCACAAAAGGCTGCCAGCCTGTTGAATTTGACATAGAAATAATAAAAGTATACCCTTTAAAATTAATTGTAAAGCATTATTCTTGAACAGCTTTATCATTTTTTTTTTTTGCACATTCTCTCTTGATTTCAACAGCACCAATTATATAAATGCATATTTTGACAGAGACATTGAATTCTTCAAGCCTATACTCTACTCTACTCTACTAGAGAATATATAGCATACAGGCCTCATTCCCTGTGCAGAAGATATTCATCTGGTTTCAGGCTTTCAGGCTTCAGCCATTAGGAATCAAAAGGTTCTGCCTGCCTTATATGCCTGAAGGAACTATCCAATTATTTTGCTCGAGCTGTTGTTCTTTGTTTATTTTCAAATTTTTTTCCTAGTAAAGAAAGGATGAAATTTAAGAAAGAATTAGAGCTCAAAATCTTCACGTTTTCATACCTCAACCTTAGCCAAAATTAATTATTAGAATCATTTGATGCTTGGTTTTGAGCAATAAGTTGCCCTTCTTGAGCCCCCCTCAAGAAAGAAGATAATGAATTTGGATTTTGAGTGAAAATGGCAGCTTGAATTTAGACCAAATATCACTTGACTATGGAATTAGCGAGGGTTTTAATACTTTGATTACCACATTACAAAGGTAAACAACTTTAAAATATCGGTTTCTAACTTGAAAAATGTGCAAAATGGACCCCAAAAAAAAGAACTAGTCTCTCTAACTTTATTTTTTTTTGGTCAATCAATTCGATAAATCAGCCAACTCATGGACAAAGAGGGATAATTGAAAAATGTGCCATCTAAGCATGGGAATATTGTAGGGAATCCCCTCAATTTTCCATCACAACACCACCTATCAGAACTGTTAGCTTGTCCTATAAACAGTGCCTGTGCCAGGTTAGAAATCACTAATCAAAACATCCCACTATGTTCTATTACAAGATGACGATGGCTCACTGAAAAGATGAACAAACTGGAAAGCATGTGATGCAATCTTTATTGTACGAAAAAGCTTTGTAGTTTTTCTACCATCTTTCTGGAAGAAAGCACAAATGCGCTGTTTTCTTTATAGACATATCAGACTATGAAAGCCCCAAATGTATAACAAGATGTTTTGGTTTTATATGAAAATAGACAAGCTAGGAAACAAAGGAAAAGCAAGGTTTGCCGTGCTCAAATTGAACTTCAGAAAGCAAGTTTGCTTTCAAATCCCACCATATTTAGTTCTCAAAAAGAGAATTAAGAGAGACAAACATCAATTAACATAGGTTTTATTACATGGTTTTTCCATACTGCAAAATATCAGAACTAATCAACTTAAAGGTTCTGACAAGAATTGTGCAAACATGTATAAGATTGACTACAAGAGGAAACACTACAAAAGATCAGAACTGATCAACTTAAAGGTTCTGACATGAATTGTGCAAATATTATAAGATTGGCTACTAGAGGAAACATGGGCTACCTTTAGTCACAAAAAATAGAAATTTGGACCAAGTACAAAACTGGATCATGAAACATTTTAGAAGAATGTGTGACTCTGATCCTGAAATATTTTAATTAATCAGGAAAACTAAAAATCTTTTTCTCATTCTGCATAATGTTCAAAGACTATACCTCTTTCCACTTTCAAGCTTCCCCGTACCGTTCAGTTATTCATTTATTTTATCAACATATCACATTATTGATAAAAGTAAAGTATACTGTGTGAAAATCTGTAGATTCTGCTATAGCCTGAAGTCTCTTTGGCTGAATAAGCAAAACTTTTAGAATTCATACTTCATTTTCTTTTTTTGCAGCATGATCTAATGAAATTTCTTAAACCATTATCATATCAACCAAGATGCGCTACACTAACATTTCTTTGAAACGATTTATAGTATTAGATAAGATGGACCATAGAGGAATTTGTTGGTGTCTCTCTAAGTTGCAGTGGTTCGTCTGTGGTATTAACCAATTATGAAAATATCCCCTTAAGATAGGGAAAAAAATTCTTTATCTTACACACATTGTTCGGATTCTAGAGCATTTATGCGCTCCATGGAAATGTAGATTCTGATGCCGGAGGAACCTTTTACGGGATGAGACTTTATCTTTTTTTCTTTTTGAATTTTTGGAGGAGATGATACACCAATACTAAAGTCTTTGAGCAATGGTAACTTTCAATCTTCAATCTCCAATTTTCCCCGTCAAAGTTACTAATGGCATTGACAAGAATTGTTAATACATGAATTCTTGAGAACTGTTATACATATATATTACTCCAGCAAGTGATGATTAATATGCAATAACGATAGGGAGTAACAATGGAGGTTCCACGATTATGTACAAAAAATTTCGTGTCATTCTTAAGATAATAAGATTACGAGAAACCTACAAAAGTTGGTGTAATACTGCGAGGAATACTAACATAGAATTGGAGGTAATTCTTTTGTTTATTTTTATTAAGATTAGTCAAACAGTACATGCTTTGCATGTTAGTTCGTTACCTCTATTCTAGCTAGTGAAACGATAATCATCTCAAAACTAATAAAAAGAAGGGTAAAATATGCTATTCCACGTAACTTTCCTGTAGTTTCAAAAGTTAAATATCATCCCCTTATAATTTGAACTCAAGTATCAAAGTGACAGAATTTGCATTCCATTGCATGACGGAATCAACTAAAATATCAAAAATACCCCTATATAAAATTAGAAATTATTTATTAACCATAGAGAAGTTATCTATATATTTTGGAAACCATACAAGGGTTACATGATAAAGTACTAAACAAAAAGTGGGTTATGTGGTAAAATACAAAAACAACAAGAGGTTAAAGTATCATGCATATTTTGTTTATATATTTTGGTCACTTCGGTCATTTTAACTTGAGCAAATTATCCCAGTGGCCACTAAACTTTTACCATCGTCGAGTTTTGGTCACTCAACTATTAAAAGGCTGGTTTTGACCATCAAACTGTATAAAAGGTAGATTCGAGCCCATTCTGTTAGATTTAGTCGTTAACTTCGCAGAGGTGTCTGTCCGCGCGATTTTCAATACAAAAGGTAGGGTCAATTTAGGAAGTCGAAAATATCACTTGCACCTCTTCTTCCTCTCCCATGCATCTGTTCTTTTTCTTCCTTGCCTAAACCCAAACATCAAACAATTGACAATTAAAGAAAAACGCAACAACGAAGAAATTTGGGGGATTGAGCGACAGCAGAACGGGTTGACAAACAAGATCTTCATTTCGTGGAACGATGGAGTGGCCCAAGTGGGTGATTAGACCAAGGGGCCAGCATTTTGATCCATCTGATGCATACGGTAAAGTTTTAAAATCCCTAAGTTTATTTAGTTATCCACATCCCAGAATAGATTGTGTGTTTCATGTATGTATGGGCTACATTTTATCGTTGTTTTGGCTTTTTGCAATAAAGCATAGAGATTTCATAGTACACTGATTAAAGTATTCTTAATGCTGGAAAAAGGGGTTAATAAATAATTCATTCATTGAATTTGGGTTTACTAGTTTTGACTAAAATTTTAATTTTTTTAACTAATCGCATGTCATGCAGTGCCAGGTTCTTCTCTGTTCACCATACGAATGTATCATGGGGGTAAATTCAATTGGCAAAATTACAGATACATTGATGGGCATGTAGATTATGTTGATTTATGTGATGCGGAAACAATGTCTGTGCATGAAATAAACTACATGGTGGATAAATTAGGGCATTATGGATGTATGGTGTATTACTATGTTGAGCCTGGAAAAGATTTTCGAAATGGGTTGAAGGAATTATCTACTGATAAAGCCATTATCAGTTTTTGCAATTGGGCTTATAAGCATAAAATCATGGAGGTGTACTGTGACCACCAGTCAAAGAATGAAATCAAGATGATGGCCACAAAGTCCCTTCCTTCTGATCTACAACTGAGTAAAAAAGCCGCAGTCACCATCGAGGAACTTGACGAAAATGGAAATGTTATTAGGGAACCTGGATTTGAACTAGTGCCATTTACAAGATCAATTGGCAAGATAGATGTTGGGAACTCTTCTAAAGAGAATGCCTTGAATAATGGGGATGATGGGGATGCAAATGATAGAGGAAATATAGATGGCCAAGTGGAGACTGATACTGATTCGGATGGAGACTGTGATCGCTTTAGTGCTGATAGGGATTTCTGTAGGGATGAAGAAATGTTAGAAGAATTGATTGTTGAGGGGCTAAAATCTGGTGTGGATTCTTCAAATACAGAGCAACCTAGATCTTCACAGCATCCCAATTCTAATGATGATTGTAATAATGCTGCACAACAGCAAGAATCAGTTGTAGATGAGCTAGGCAGACAACAACAAACAGTTGGGATGGATCCATGGTCACAACAATCAGGACTTGAAACTGAATTTGAACATCAGCAGCAGCCTGAGACAAATGAAGAACAACCCACGGATGTGGGAACTGGAAACCAACAGTCGCGGAGGAAGAAGCAAGTTAGAAGGAGAAGAAACAACAATAGAGCATCAGGAGAAGAGGCAGCTCCTCATTTAGATGATGTCCATGCATTAGATAAAGACACAGTGGTGACTGAATTGCATAGTGATGCTGGCTCCTCAGATGAAGAGAATGATGATGACTGGAGGAATAGGTATGTTGATTTCAATCCGGAGAGAGATCTAAAAGACCCTAATTTTGAGTTTCACATAGGAATGAAGTTTGAGTCAGCTGAACAGCTAAGATTAGCTGTTAGAACATATTCCATCATGAAAGGAAAACCAGTAAAGCCATACACAAATGAAAAAAAAAAGGTTTAGAGCAAAATGCAAACCTCCTTGCCAATGGTTTGTTTATGCTTCAGTTGAGAGGGAACTTGGAATAGCTGATTTGGTTGTCAAGAGCATGAATAATGAGCACACAAACTGCAGTCATGTATGGAAGAACAAGAATATTTCTGCTAAGTGGCTTGCAAACAAGTACATGGAGAGATTTAGATGTAATGTTGAAATGCCTCCAAAATTATTAAGACAAATAGTTGATGAGGACTTCAAAGCTGAAATTTCAAAATGGGTGGCATACAATGCAAGGGCAATTGCTAAAAAGGAGATTCAAGGGAATGCAGAGCAGCAATATAAGGACATATGGAGATATTGTGCAGAAATTAAGAGGACACACCCAAATACCACAATGGAAGTTATGTTTACTCCCTTCAGACAACCTGGATGCAACCCAAAATTCATGAGACTTTATTGCTGTTTGGGACCATTAAAACAAGGCTTTCTTGACGGTTGTAGGCCCATTATTAGGGTTGATGGATGCCACATAAAGGCTGAATATCGGGGACAGCTGTTGACTGCTATTGGAGTAGATCCCAACAATGGATGGTGGCCCATTGCTTGGGCAGTGGTTGAGAGGGAAGCAACTGAACAGTGGAAATGGTTTTTTGAGCTGCTGAAGAATGACTTGCAGATTGAAAATGGGTACAGCTACACCTTTGTTTCTGACCAGCAGAAGGTATTAACTCCTTCCCTTTGTATATGCACAGTACACAAATCTGTTTCAATTTACTAATGCCTTTTGTTTGTAATAATTTATAGGGTCTTGACCGAGCATTATCTGAGGTACTACCAAACAGTGAGCACAGATACTGTGTGCAGCACCTGTATAACAACTTCAAGAAGAAACATCGTGGACTTGCCCTGAAGACAAAACTGTGGAACATTGCAGCAAGTACTACTGAGGGACTATTCAAGAAAGCATCAGCAGATCTGGAAAATTTTGACAAGGAAGCATATGAATGGGTGAAGAAAGCACCACATCCCAGTCATTGGTGTAAGACTTTTTTTTCAGAACATACTCGATGCGATATGTTGGTTAATAATTTGTGTGAAAGTTTTAATGGTCATATACTTGAAGCTAGGCAGCAGCCAATTATCACAATGTTAGAGTCCATTAGGATATTTCTGATGGAGAGGATACAGAGAAGGACAACTGCAATGGAGAAGTTTGAATTGTCCATTGGCCCACTAATTAAAAAAATAATTGATGATAGGGTGATAGAATCAAGACAATGGAGGACCATTTGGAATGTTGTGGATGGATACCAGGTTAGGGGACCAAGGGGGGCCCAGTTTGCTGTTTATTTAAAGAAAAAATCCTGCACATGCAAACTGTGGGATCTATCAGGTATTCCTTGCTGTCATGCTATTGCAGCAATTCACAGAAATAATGGCGACCCCTATAAAGAGGTGTATGACTGCTACAACAGAGATCTGTTTCTAAAAATTTACAAAAATGTTTTGTATCCTATCAATGGACAAGTAATGTGGCCTGAAACTGATGGGGTGGATCTTGATCCACCAGAAAGGATAGTGCAACCTGGCAGACCTAAGAAGGCCAGGAGAAGAGATCCTACTGAAACTCAAAAGACTGGAAACAGGTTGCGGAGAAGAATAGTCATCCATTGCAGAAAATGTGGTGTTGCCGGCCATAATGCAGCTGGTTGCAAGGTGCAGCAACAAGACAATCAACAACAGCAGAATCAGGATAGCGAGGAGCAGCAGCAGAACCAACAGCAGCAACGTGGTTCTAAGAACATGCAGCAGCAACAACAGAACCAACACCAGCACCAGAGTCAGCATGAACAGACCCAACACCAACACCAGAGTCAGCATGAACAGACCCAACACCAGCAGCAGAGGCAACATCAGACCCAACACCAGCACCAGAGGCAACATCAGACCCAACACCAGCACCAGAGGCAGCAGCAGACCCAACAGCAGCACCAGCACCAGCAACACCAGCAGCAGGATCAATATCAGCAGCAGCAAAATCAGCAACACCAGCAACAGAATCAACATCAGCAGCAGCAACAGCAGCAGGATCAGCAACAACAGCAGAATCAACAGCAGCAGCAGGATCAAGAGTATCAGCAGAACCAACAAGAACAGCAATCACAATCTGCTGTTGAGGAAAGTGAACATGCACAGTATCGACAGCAGGAAGAAGTTGTACAAAATCAACAACAGTCTCAGAGCCAAGGGGCTCATCAACAAAGGAAAGCAGGAAAACGAAAGTTAACAGATTCAGAAAAGGGGCAGATCAATGCCAATTATGCATATTTAGGTAAAGAACCTCCTTTCACTGTTGAAAATTGGAGAGGAAAATGGAGTAGAGCTGGTACTAGAAGAGGAGGAACTTCAGCAACAACTACCAGAGGACAACCAAGAGTCAAAAGAGGATCAAATTGAAGAGGAAGTAAAGCTATAGTTAGATTGGGACATAATGCAACTACATTTTGTCTTTTTGTTTGAAGTTTGTTTTGGATTTGATATGCTGACCTATTACGAACATGGTCCATATGTACAAACAATTTATTTTGTCCAATCTACACAGATTGTTCTATGTTAATGCAGCACTTTTGTTTAGTTCTTATGTCTCTGTCATTTATTGATGAAATTAGTAGAGCTGAAATGTGTTGTTTCAAACCTTTTTTGACACCAAATAATAACTATTTATTCATGTGAACAATACAACTTTTATACATCAAAATGTTTATACAGAGGGGTACAAAAGGGGCTTTATAAAGCCATTTGCCCTTTCCCTTTCAATATGCTACCATTACAACAGAGTAGCTATTCTTCAAGGATTTTCAACGATGCCACAAATTTGTAGCATGCCACCAGAATTATCTATTCTCATAACTAACATTGCTAAGACAACTATTAGCCAAGGCAACACTGCGCATCGAATGAGTCGCTTATTGGCTGATTTGTACTTGGCAATTTCAGTTTGAAGTGGCTTCATTTTACCCTCCAATTTCACAGCTTTTGCTTCCCACTTTCTTGCAACTTTTTCAAATTCAACCATTTTTTCCTCCATTCCATTGATCTTTCTGAGTAGACCCGGTATAATCATTGTAGATCGAGCGCACATTTCATCATCTATCCAACCCCAATAGCCACAGCCATCCTTCAAAAAAAAACAAATTCATTATATTTCTTACACAATAATAAATTAAGTATCTAAAAAAATGTTACAAACCTCCCCCAATGCGCATTTGGCAAATCTTCTTCCCGGATTTTGTGCAGTCCATGAAGTTATCATTACTGTCTTCATCCCACAAACACAAGTAGGCAAAATGGGTGTCAACGATGTAGGTGGCATGGATCTTGCTGGCCCGACTCTTGGTGGCGTTGATCTTGGTCCTGCTTCCTCTAATCCAAGTTGGGCTTCTTCCATTTCCTTCTCTTGTAGTTTCTCTCGGGTAAGTAATCTTTATTAGTTTTATACAAGAAGAACAAGAAGATCTATTTTCGACTTCCTAAATTGACCCTACCTTTTGTATTGGAAATCGCGCAAACGGACACCTCTGCAAAGTTAACGACTAAATCTAACAGAATGGGCTCGAGTCTACCTTTTATACAGTTTGATGGTCAAAACCAGCCTTTTAATAGTTGAGTGACCAAAACTCGACGATGGCTAAAGTTTAGTGGCCACTGGGATAATTTGCCCTTTTAACTTTTAAATAATGTTAATTTCAACATTTCAGTGAGTTCCGTTATAGAGGATCATTTTCATCATTTTGATATTTTAGTCCAAATCATGAGAGGATTATGCAAATAATCACTAAACCACAGGCGAGGTAAAGTGTATTTTACTCTAAAAAGAAAAAGAGTTTTATGGTTTAAGCTATTCCAAATTATGTTTATCTAAGAAGAATGAATCATCGGTTTAGTAGAGATGTTCTACATTTATATCATAATGTAGATATAACACTCAAAAAATATTTAATCAGACCATGTGATTAATAATTTTGTCACAAAGTATAGATTGCTTTTTTTTTTAACCTGTCTTGTCTTATTACTCCTCAGTTGGAGGCATACTTATATAAGCATACTTATGTTATGGGTCCTAATAGTTAATGATGCAAAAATTGTTCTCCAAATAAATTTACTACCTTTTAGTCCTTCACTCATATTAATTAAAAGCAAAACTTCTACAACAGTTGAAACTCCTTTGGATTTTCACCTGGAATAAGCCAAATTACATGAGTATATTAATGCAATAAATTTGGTAACTAAAATATGAATTTCTATTTTGAGTAGCTAATAAGAACCCAAGAAAAGGCGAACTTAAACAAAAATGCCTCATATGTTTTTCTTGCCTTTTGCTTTTCTTAAATAGATATTAGCTCCTTATTTATTTGATTTAGAATAATGTTTCTTATTCTTTCGAAGAGTTAGTTTTGGACTTACAATGCCATGATTATTTTCCCATTAAGTAAAAAAAATAAAAATGTATATATTATTTTCCAAATATCGTTACTTCCAGTGTTAAGTACATGAAATGATTTACCATCAAGGTTAATAAGGAGAAAATATTCTGAAAGATGTTACCTTGATTGGTAATTCTTCCAAGTTAGCCGTTAAAATTAGGCATTAATTATATTGAAATTACTGGAATCATTGAATTAGAATTAGAAATTGTAAAATTTTGTATTAGAAATATGCTAGAAAACGTGTTCATCTTTAGATGACACATCTATCATTACCTTTAGACATATCACGTAAACTTCTTGTTAATTAAACTAACCTAAATAAAAATGTTCATTTCCCAGCAACTTAAACTCTGCCCAAAAGCATAGTAGACAAATTTGATAGTAAATATATTGCTAAAGATGTATAATAATGACTTGGAATATTTTTAGTCAAAGAATATTCACTTTTAGACTGCTTTAAAAAACTGAATAGCTTGACAAAGAGTACAAGATAGATTTAAAAAATGGTCAAATTTTAGATAATTACATAAAAATCTCATAATCCTCAATCCATATAATCTGTCCATTACTCTGCTAATTCAAACGTTCGAGATGGGAACTATCTCATCTATTTGTAACAAAGGATACATTTATATCCACTAGTAGGATTGATTTTCATTTTTCATGCAAAAGAGCACGCAAAAATCCTTGTAGTTCTTTCTTGCATCACCAATTATTGCAATTTTAATTTCCTCAATTAGTTTCTTTCAAGGATGGAACTTATTGGCAATAAAATAGCATCATATTGCTGCATTGTCAAGTTTCACAATTATAAGAAATCCTCAACCGGTAAATGAAATGCTAAGGAATTATTTGTGATCACATTTACCAACGAATGTAATTTTTTGGTCCAACATGGATATACCCTAGACAGTGTTTCTGCTCCAGGAGCATATGTCCAAAGAAAGAGCTGAATATTTAAATCGAAGATTGAAAATTTAAAAAGATATACAAAATCAGACAATAGACTTGATACACCTAAATTCAATACTTTAGGGCGGCGGTGTCAGAGATAGACCTAGGTATGGCAGCGACGGCCATCATATCAACCTGTCTGACCCTAGTCAGATTTTGTCCGTAAGTACCAGACGCCGAGTAACCAAATGGGTCCAACTGACCGAGATGGACTCACCTTAGAAGGATGAAGACGAGGATGAACACACCTCGGCTGAAAACATGTTGGGTTGAGTCATGTTGGGCCGAAAACATGAAGATGAGGATGAGCACCTCGGCCGAAAACATGTTGGGTTGAGTCATCTTGGTGATGCGTCGAGCCGAGGAAGCGAAGGTGAGCGTGGACATCAGCATCCAAGTACTAGTCCCAATGACTAATAACTCCCCCTCCAATATAAATGCCCCTCTCCTCCTCTATTACAGGTAATAAATATCATCTCAATTCTTCTCAGCTGAGCCCTTTAACACTTCAGAAGCTAAGGTATGCATCAAAATGCCATCGAGGAGAAAGCGCCGACCTTCTTTGCCTTTGTTTTTGATGTGCTGCAAGGTTCGAGGTTGGCATTGCCGAATTCTTGCTCACACAACATTCATAATTAAAAGAAGATCAACTATAATCATCACTCAGGTTCCAATTAAATATCTGCACTTCATTCACTATGTAATGAATTTCACAAGTAAGCAGTTATATAACAAATAAGGAAGCCGAGTTCTAAATCATTCTTCGCGCAGCAATGAGAGCAAAGCCCCAGAGTCTAAGCAATTTAGAAACTGTATCAACATATCTAAAGGAAGCTAAACGACCATTCATGAGGTAATAACTCCAACCAGCCAAATCCAAATGATCATATAAATTAGAGCAAATTACTCGAATAGTTATTGAACTTTTTGAATAGTCAAGATTTGACCACTCAATTATTAATAATTTGTTTTTATTTACTCACTTTTTAATCAAATGTGTAAATCTTGGGTTATTCTATTTGATTCCACGGTTAACTCTGCAAGATCTAAGAATCCGCATAATTTATGAGACATACTATTAATAGTTAGATCTAGTAGAATTAATTGTAAAATCAGATGAAATTGTTCAAAATTTATACTTTTAATAATTCAACAGATAAAAACATACTATTAATATTTGAGTGACCAAAGCTCCACTATTCAAAAAATTTAATTGCTACCCAGATAATTTGCTCTATAAATTACTCATCCACTAAACAGAGTTAGAGTTCTAGTCCCATATCAAAAATCAACAAGTCATCCAATATGTTAGAAGATTTATCCCCAATGAGTTTGTGCGTAAAAACATACGAAATTAAGAAAGAAAAAAAAATTGAAAGCTTTAAAAGCTAAAACTCTTTAAACTGTCCTCTAGTGGAGCCGCATCACTTTTTTTGCTCGGTGGATTCAGGGTGTGTTATATAACCTATTACTAAGGGGGTAAAAAGAAAACTAATTTTTCATGCCTGCTCATTGAAAAATGTACTATATGAGAAGCATCATGTTCAACCATTTTTCATACATATCTAGTTGAAATATCATTCTTTGCTCCATGGTACTTGAGAGGTTTCCAATCCTGTGAAAGAGGAGAGAAGAGAAGAAAGAATAGACTAATGAGTTGTAAAAGATACATCTAGGATTTAATTAGCAAATAGTAACTAAATAAATAAATAAATCAGTAAGTTCATAAATGCTAAATAGATAATTGCCGAGATTAATATGAATGAACTTTTTCTTGAAGAACAATTTGAAGACTGAAGGCGGTCACTTCGGATCGTCTTATCCGAAGTGGTGCCATGGCCGTGGTTCTTCTTGTCACCTAGGATAGATCTCGGCTAGACCTCTGCGACATCTTGTGGGCTTCAGCCTTTATGACCCAGATGGCCGTCGTATCTCGGTCGCACGCGGGTGATGTCAGCTAGCCTGACAGGTCATTAAGGGCCACCACTTTAACTGAAACCCCTAGGACCCTTTATTGGAAATATGCGGGACCACCTGACAAGGTGCCTGAACTACTGTCCCCTGTCAGGAACAGAGGCCGCAGGTGCAGAACAGAATCGTAATCCTCAGGAAGCAGGACCCAGTGGCTTAAACCCACTGTCCTTCCCTCCACTCTCACACTCTATAAATACCCCCTGTTCACTCCTCACAAATAAGACTACTGTTGCGCTCATACTGTTCATTACTCTTTGTTTTCTTTCTATACTGACTTGACTGTCGGAGTGATCTCAGGGGACAAAGCCCCGCCTCTCACTTCGGAACAGCACCCCTGCCTCCTAATTTCACTTCACCGAAAGAGAGAGCTGAATTAGGTCAGCTCGGCTACCTAGTTAGAAATCACATCTTCAATTGGCGCCGTCTGTGGGAACGTAACTCTTAAGATGAGACCTACGCGATCTAGGAGTAGAAGAGTTCCCTCTACTGGACCTGAGCCCAGCTCCGCTGCTCAGCAAGACCGTGTATCCGAAGAGCAAGGGTCCCCAAGGGCCCCGCCCACAAACGAAGACGCCATCGCCCGAATGGCCGAGTTTGTGGCAGAAAATCCCAACATTTTTTAGAAACTCGGAAGGTACTTCAAGCGGTAAGGGAAGGAAAAAGCCGAATCTTCCAAAAGAAGGTCGGTCAAGTCCCCTGAGATGACCTCCGGAGAGGACTCCGATGACGGGCATCCCGCCCGGAGCACTTCGAAACGCGTCTCCTCCAAAGCCACCTCTAGAATCGTGTCCATTTCCAAGGCGTTCTCCCGGGGCTTGCTAGGAAGGTGAACTGAGGCCAAGCCTCGGAAGCCCGAGGGGCTGGCGGCCAATTACATGAGGGCTCCGCCCTTTACCGATGACATCAATGGAGAATTGGTTCCCCCCAACTTCAAACTCCTAGTATTACAACCCTACGATGGCGGAGGTGATCCCGAGAATCACCTCCATGCCTTCATCTCAGCATTTCGGCTGTACTGCGTCCCCGACGCTGTGGTCTGTCAAGCCTTCCCTATTTTCCTGCAGGGTACTGCCAGGAAATGGTTCTGGAGTCTGGAACCTACGAGCATTTTCTCGCTGGACGAGCTGGTTGATAGGTTTATCCACCGCTTCGTATCGTCTTGCCCTGTTACGAAGACCTCGACCTACCTACTGAACATACAGCAGGCTCCCGGGGAGTCTCTGCGTTTATACGTGCAAAGGTTCAATGAAAAAAAAGTGCAGATACCTGACCAAAACGAGCAGGTGACCAAAGCTGCCTTCACCAATGGGTTGATCGCGGGAACGTTCCACACCGAAATTCATCGGGACTACCCACGAATGTTTCGGGAACTCTGGGAAAGGGTGAACTGAGATATCCGAAATGAGGACCTGAATCGCATGAAACGGGAAGCCCAAGCAGCCCGCACTGGGCAAGACTCCCGAAGGAAGAAAGAGGCAAGCCGAGTCGAACAGGGCCCCAGCGGCTCGTCCAACCCATTCCAAGATCACTGGAGTGTTTTTGAAAAAATTACGAATGGGAGGTCGTCCACCTCGGACGCCGAGGTAACACCTCTCAACTCCAGCCAGTCTCACATTCTGGCTGTAATGAGACAAAATCACCTCGGTCGAGACCCTCCTGGGATTCTGGGGAGGAGAGAGAAGAAGAATCTCAGCCTCTCCTGTGCTTACAACCTGGATGTTGGGCACGAAACCGAGGATTGTAACGATTTGAAGAAAGAAATCGAAAACTTGATCAGGCAGGGATACTTGAAGCAGTTCGTCAGCAAGGATGGAGGCTTCAACCGAAACGCTTCCCACCGGGAAAATCGAGGCTATCGTCGAGAAGACAGGTGGGTCATGAAGAGTCATTGCCGTGGGTCTGAAAATCGTGGGAAGGACCAAAGGCCTTCACGAAACGGGTCCCTGGGCTACGGCCCTAACATCGCTAGGGTTATCAACACAATTGCGGGTAGTCCGACGGGAAAGGACAGACAGAACTCCCGAAAACGAACCTACCGTCAAGTCGGTATAGAGGCTGCCGAGCCGAGCTCCAGGCTATCCGAGGTGATCACTTATGGTCCCAGTGACCCTGTTCCTGCCACCTCCAGCAACCACGAAACTCTCGTGATTGAAGTTCTCACCAATAATTACATAGTCAAGAATGTCTATGTCGATCCCGGCAGCTCGGTAGACGTCCTGTACTACAAAACCTTTGAAGGCTTGAAACTGACCAAGGAGCAGCTTACCCCTGTCAGGACCCCTCTTGTGGAATTCGGGGGACACGTGGTCCATCCTGAATAGATGGTCTCCCTGATGGTGACCATTGGCCACAACCCCCACTGCCGGACCGTCCCTGTAAGTTTTGCCGTGGTCAGAGCCGACTCCCCATATAACATGTTGATCGGTTAGCCCACGCTCAACGTTTTGAGGGCTGTGTACTCTACCTACCACCTGAGTTTCAAGTTCCCAACACCCGCTGGAGTGGCCGAGGTGAGTAGCGACGTGAACGCGGCCAGGGAGTGGTACCTCGCCACCATACAGGTCGCAGTCACCCCTCGAGTTGAATCAAAGGCTGAGGGAAAGAGGTCGAACTTCCTCTCCATAGGCTACATCGATCCCCAGGACGCCGGAAAATCCAGCAGGCTAGAGGCCGGGGACGAGGTGGAAGAGGTGGTCCTCGACGATGTGAGACCCGACCAAGTGATGCAAGTGGGAACAAGCCTCACATCGCCCCTCAGGGAAGAAATGATCAACCTGATAAGAGAGCACCGAAACGTCTTCGCGTGGACCGCTGAAGAAGTGGTCGGGGTGCCCCCGAACTATGATTCACCGACTTAACGTCGACCCACAGGCCCGTCCTGTGAAACAAATGAGGAGGCACTTCAGCCTAGAGTGCAGGCAAGCTGTTTCCGGTGAAATTGACAAACTCTTGCCCGCCAAGATGATCCGGGAAGTCCAATACCCCACCTGACTGTCCAACCCTGTGATGGTGAAGAAGGACGCCGGTGGGTTGAGAATGTGCGTGGACTTCACCGATCTCAATAAGGCATGCCCCAAAGACTGCTACCCACTGCCAAGAATAGATGCTCTCGTTGATTCGGCCATGAAACATAAGATCATATACTTCCTAGACGCCTTTAAGGGATACCACCAAATAGAAATGAGCGAAGAGGATCAGGAGAAAACGGCGTTCTACACTGATCGAGGTGTCTATTGTTACACAACAATGCCTTTCGAGCTCAAGAAAGCCGAGGCCACTTACCAGAAGCTAGTCAACCGAATCTTCAAAGATCAGATCGGCCGAAATATGGAAACCTATGTGGATGACATCCTCCTGAAGAACCGGACCACCTCGGTCTTCCTGTCAGACATGAAGGAGGTCTTCAGCATCCTCCGAGATTTTCGAATGATGCTGAATCTGAAGAAATGCATTTTCGGTGTCATTTCGGAAAAATTCTGGGATACCTGGTATCTCGCCGAGGTATCGAAGCGAACCCTGACAAAGTGAAGGCTATTCAGGACATGTCACGGCCTCGGAATGTCCGAGAAGTGCAGAGGTTGAATGGCCACCTTGAACCGCTCTCTCCCAATCCGCCGAGAAGGCTCTACCCTTTTTTAAGGTGTTGAAGAAAGCTGATCGATTCACCTGGACTGAGGAGTGCCAACAGGCTTTCGATCAGATGAAAGAGTACTTACACCGCTTCCCTACCCTCGCCTCACCGTGACCTGAGGAGAGGTTATACATGTACCTCTCCGCGGCTGATGAGGCTGTCAATGCGGTGCTCATCCGAGACCATGGTACCCAGGTGCCCATTTATTATGTCAGCCGAGCTCTCCGTGGGCCGGAGACTCGGTACACTCAGGTGGAGAAACTAGTGCTGGAATTGGTCCATGCGACTCGACAATTAAAGTCTTATTTTCTGGCCCATCCTATCTCAGTCAGAACTGATCAACCTATTCGACAGATATTGGTGCGTCCCGAGATTTCCGGACGCCTTACCAAGTGGGCTGTCGAACTAGGAGAATATGACCTGTCATACAAACCCCGTACGACGATCAAGGCCCAAACATTAGCATATTTTCTAGCCGAATTTACGTTCTCCGTGAGCCAAGACGCCAGCTTAGCACCATTCGGGCCTCAAAACTGGACGCTGTATGTGGACGGATTTTCCAACAGTGATGGCAGCGGAGCAGGGCTGCTCTTAGAAGATCCCCATGGAGAGGTATGCTTGTACACCCTCCGGTTTGACTTCTTTGCAACCAATAATGAGACCGAGTATGAAGCTTTGATTGCGGGACTTCGGCTAGCCCGCAAACTCGGTTCTCGACAAATCCAAGTCTACAGTGACTCTCAACTTGTGGTATGCCAAGTACTTGGCGAATACGAAGTCAGGGGAGAAACCATGCAACGGTATCTTTTTAAAGTTCACCAACTCGCTGCATATTTCGAGTTATTTCAAATCCAAATAATATTTCGGTCGCAAAATAGGCGAGTTCGTTCTCGGCTCTCAACAAGACGGTTCTTGTAGAAATGGTGACCGAACCCGAGTACCTGGAGGAAGTGGTCTGCCCTGTGCATTCGGGAGACACATGGATGAGCTCACTCATCCTGTTTTTGGGCCAAGGAATCCTCCCTGAAGACCGGGTTGAGGCCAAGAGAGTACAACGCAAGGCCGCCCGCTACGCCCTCCCAGACGACGAGTTATATAAACGATCCTATTTTGGCCAATTGCTACAGTGCATTCCCACCGATGAAGGGTTCTGTATTCTCAAGGAGATACACGAGAGCCTCTGTGGGGCACACATCGGCTATAAGATGTTGGCCAAAAAGGCCCTATTCCTCGGATATTATTGGCCTACCGTTCAACAGGACGCTCAAGATCTCGTACTTAGCTGTCTTTCTTGCCAGGTCCATGCCTCCGAACACCATCAACTCACGAACCTTATGGTTCCGATCACCTCGCCCTGACCGTTCGAGCAGTGGGGGACAGACATCATCGGACCTTTTCCCAAAGCTATCGAAGGTTATACTTTCCTTGCGACCGCCATGGATTACTTATCCAAGTGGGTCGAGACTGAACCTCTAAGAATCATCACGGGGCTGGCGGTCCAAAAATTCTTCTGGAAATACATAATCTGTCGCTTCGGCATACCTCGGATGATCATTTCGGATAATGGAAAGCAGTTCGCTGATAACCCATTTAAAACTTGGTGCCAGGACCTCGACATCAAGCAGCACTTCACTTCGGTAGGTCACCCTCAAGCCAACGGTCAAGCGAAAAACTTTAACCGAACTCTCTTGCACGGTCTGAAGACCCGACTATACCGAGCAGGATCATCTTGGGTAGAGGAACTCCCAAGTGTCTTGTGGTCTTACCGAACCACGCTGAGATCGGCCACACAAGAGGCCCCCTTCTCCTTGACATACAGCTCCGAAGTTGTCATTCCCGCCGAGATCCTTGCGCCTAAACCCCGAATGGCAGCCTACGCGGCCGAGGTAAACAGAGAAGAAAGACAGACGGATCTTGACCTCATTGAAGAAAAAAGGGACCTCGCCTTAGCACACGTGGTTTCGTACTAGAACACCTTGGCCCGTCACTACAATGCCCGTGTTAAGCATCGTCGATTCTGGCCAGGAGACTTAGTCCTCCGAAAAAACTCGGTCAGTCGAGCTGAACCGCAAGGAAAACTAGCCCCAAAATGGGAGGGTCCTTACCGAGTTGTGGAATCTAGCCTAAGTGAGTATTGTAAATTAGCCTACCAAGATGGTTCTCTAGTGCCGAGAATTTGGCATGCAGAGAACCTAAGGCTGTATTATCCTTAAAAAATGTAATGACTTGTTGGTTATTCAATCACTCGGTTATTTTTTAATATTTTAGTACCCGTTGCTGCTTATTAAAAAATAAGGAGGACGAATAAGGGACGAAGTGAAAAAGAAAAAGAGAGCCGAGCTCCCATTCATTTCATTAGATACTGCAAAGAAGAAATCACTACAAGGTAATTTGTTTACAAAACGAGTCGAAGTTAAGAAAGTTTCTAAGCATTCTCCACTTCGACTTCCTTCTCACCAATCCCCCCGCTGACCTCATCCTCACCGGTAGCTTCACCTCCGCCGACCTCACCTCTTCGGCATCCTTTCCCTCCTCAAGCTCTTGGTCAATCTCGGACAGTCATCTGTTGAACTCATCCCGGACCTCGGCCAAGTTTCGTCCAGCTTGGATACCTTCAGCCATCCGGTCGCACAGCTCCTTGAAGTTCTCGTTGTAGTTGGCCTTACTCCTGAAGGAATCCAAGTCTTCGGAGGAAAGGTGAGGAGCGACCTCGTCAATGGCAGAGGTGTAGCCGAACATATAGCTCGGCAGGGTCAATTCCCCGAAATCCTTGGTGAAGGTCTCGAACCTCCTGAAAGCCTCCACAGCCGAGGCCCCGGCATCCTCTAGTGCCTGTTGGTAGGACTTCTTCAACTCTTCCCCCCTCTTTTGCTCCTCTTCGAGAGTCGATCTGAGGTTGTTTATGGTAGCCTCGCCTCCTCTTCCTTCGCTTCAGCCTGCTGCAGTCGATTTTGAAACTCAGTCTTCTCGGACTCCGACACGGCCAGCTTCTTCTCCAACTTTTCTATTTTATCTTGGATCTTGCCAGAGTCTTGCTCCTTGAGCAGGTCGCTATACCGACGTGCCATTTCGACCACAAAAGTCGTAGCGGAAACTGTTGCCACCATGAGGCTCTGGATCACCTATTGAGGAGTCAGCTTCTCGGTTCACTCCAAATCCCTCGGCAAGTTGGAGAACATAACCAACTCCTGGGCCGCACGAGTCTGGGTACACCGGTCATTGATTGAGAGCTGCCAATTCGGGCACCAGTGCGTATCGGGGTGCGTCTTGTCTTGCCCAAAAAATCGAGGTGCGTCTTGTCTTGCCCAAAAAATCGAGGTGCGCTATGGAAACGGTTCCACAACGAAGACCCCGTGATCGGCATGACCGAGGACTTCACCTGCTTGCCTCGGCCATGAGGAGGTAGGGCAACGGTGACTCCTTATGTCGCCACCCCTTCTGGTGCTGACGAGGTGGACTCCATAGCTGTCGCAGCCGAGTTGCTTTTGGCCGCCGCGGCCGAACTGCTTTTGGCCGCCGCGATCGAGGTGTTCTTGGCCAACGTCGTCTTGACCACTGGCGCTTGTGTTGTCTTCTTTTTCGGCGGCGGTGCCGATGTCTCACCCGATCTCTTCCTCTTCGGTCTCTTAGACACCTCTGCTGAGCCGGAGCTGATGATGTCGGATACTTTAACCACTGCACAAAGAGCAA